AACTAATGAACATGGTAAGCTTTCTGGCTTCCTTTCAATTTCTATTTCAATGTCTATCATGCAAAAATATTTGCATTGCTAAGTAAGTTAGGACAACGACAGGGGACAGGTAGGTAGATAGGTAGATAGGTAGGTAGGTAGGAAGGAGCAATTCATTTGATACATTCCCTTTTACGTGAGTGCCTTTTTGGGGTATTTTTGGAATTTTCAGCTTCACAAATTCGAAGAAAATTGTCTACAATGACTCCTTTACAGTCCTAATAGTCTAAATAGTCTTTTTTGTTACTTATTTGTCGTGATGTCCTTCAAAAAAGCAGAAAAAAGACCCATAGTTACGACGGCTTTGGCTTGACAACGGCTTTTGAAAACCGGATTTTGGAGCCTAATCCTTAGCTAAACCTAACCCTACACTGTCCTAAAAACCTAACCCTTCTGACCCTAACCCTAAATCAAGGTACCCTATAAAGACCCGGTCATAGGTTATAGCAACCGTAACCCTTGTCTAAGCCTGGAAATAATCCTAAGCTAAAGAAATCAATAGAAATCACGAGGAATTGCTAGCAAACATGATTATTGAGACTAAAAATAAGTGATTGAAGGCAATTTTCTTTTGTTTCCCGAAAGTTTCAAAAACCGTCCCTAAAAAGTCACTTACGCCGTTTTCGCATTCGGCCCTTTAAATACTTAGCCTGGGGTCCCTGTAGCATTATTACCAAAATGACAAAATAGTGACTGTAATACCGCTGTTACATCTTCCAAATGAGAGCTTTATTGTAAAGTAAACCTTTCCCAACAGATCTCCCCTGGTGGCGGTTTTGGACCAGTTCACGATGATGGTTATGGAGTGTCCTACATGGTTCCTGATGATAACAGAATATTTTTCCATGTATCTTCAAAAAATTCCTCTTCAGTCACAAACAGTGATCGGTTTGTGAAACTTCTGTTTCAGAGTTTGGGAGAAATGAAAGCCCTCTTTGATAAAGATGTTGAAAATGGGTCTTCATYAACAAAATAAAAAATCTCTTTGGACTTTTTAATGTATTTAAACATTTTAAATGTTTTACTTTTATTTATTAAACATGTTTGGAATTTGCTTTCTGAGTTAGGATCATTTTTGGAATCCTTAGAAATGGTAGTTACCATGACAAGCKTATTTATTATGTTTAATACGTAATGATTTAGTTCTTTCTTATCATAAAATATGCTATTCATCATTGAATTGAATCAAAGAAACACCTGACATTCAGTAGATTTACTATGAATACAGGGTCAGACTGAAGATAAGTTTTATTGAAACCAAAGAAAAATTCTGACCACTCCCATGAATTAAAGTTTATATGTMATTATTTTAATTACTTATCAAACTCATTAATTATTYRTAATGTCATTAGYCAATGATATMCTGAGAATCTAATCACGTGATTATACCTTTATATTGGATAAAAAGTGCAGCAAGCTCAAAGTTGGGGGCGSCGTTGAATAAGTGATACAGAAYCAATGTTTTATTAATTAGGTCTGTATCAGGAAAACATTGAGTAATAATCAGCCCCGCACTCCCCTGAAAATATTCAAAATGTCTAAACTCGTGTGCAATCAAGCACAATTAAAACACGCTGAAAATTATATATTGTAGCAATGTCGTTTCGTTTCCTCGCGATTTAYTCGATCGTCGGATAAGCTTCCCTGTTTTTATTGGCGCCTCGTCTTGTATGAATTTGACCATCCAAAAAATCAACGACTCGGCGTTTATGTCATCGAGACYAGAGTCAGCATATCCTGGAATGACTCGCTGTTTTTGAAACTGAAACTGGCGCTCCCATTATGGCTTTCTTGTTCGCACGGTCTTTTTGCCTGGCGCAAAATAAGGTTGCGGACCATTTTGTTGAATACTTTGTGGAACACTCCCCCGAACAGTAACGCTTTCCTTTATGTTGAGTTTTAGGTCTCCTAAATCGACTCGACATGTCTTCGAGGGAGAAATGGAAGCCAGCTGATTTGATTTNAGTTTTGAAGAATATTTGTTCAATTCAAAGTGCGTGCTGTATGACACATCCACGGGCTTCATTTATCTACGAAGTATTGATTTATATCTCGTTAGTTTAAAAGATACAGTAAATCCCGAGCAGTTTTGCTGTTCTATGATACGCTTGTTTACAGCCGAGTTCGTAATGTGATATTTCGTTTAGAGATCGGAGTGCGATCGGGGACAAAGGTACACCCGAGTTCGTAATGTGATATGCATTCGGGATGCAAAGGTCAGCCCGAAGACAAAGGTCTCACATAGAAAAAAAACAAAACAAAACTAAACTCGCTGCATTTTCTGACTCGTGACCCGGCCAAGGGCCTGGTCACGAGTAATTACCGTAGCCACTTTCAAGTTATGCACCTTTACTACTGACAGACAGATAAAAGTTTCTATTTCGTGATTTGTACCACAATTGTTGATAGATTTGCATCGTCCAAATATTTGGGAGTTTCAAAGCAATTAGAGAGATGAAGCAGCACCCGCCCCCCCGGGAAGCAGCACTTCCTCTATGCAACGTATTGCTTGCTTTACATATATGATAGATAACTTTTCAAAAGGGGCTCTTTTGCAGTAAATTGTGCATACTTACAAGCAACTGATCTTAACAGTTAACTTATTTGCTGTTTTTCGTCATTTATCTCACTGTTTACAACATTCGCATCCATGTTATATGGTTATTACAATCACGTGCCTGCAGCAGCTTGAGATTGTTCCACATCTTCACTGCATAYTCATTACTTCTTCCGGAATGATTAAGTTATGGGGAGCGAAATCCGGCTACTGCCCTCACCGCTAGGTTATTTATCATTCGAGTGCCGCAGGCGAGCAAAACGCGCACACTCAGCCGCTGACTACAATNCTTTAACTCAATGTGAGAATTCAATGAAATATGTACTCTGTGCTCTTGTTAGACAGTTTTGTTTGTTTTAAAACTGACAGTTTGTCAAATAGTGCAGTGTACGCTGGCTTATTCGTGAACGCGTTGGTTCCTTTTGGTACTCAAGTTTATTGAACACGCTGGTTCGAGGATTGACTAAAAACACTCTTAGSAAGTGTGCACAGGTCAATACAACCAAATGAAGGAACAGAGACCTAATTTACTCACCGTTTATGGTCTTKTCAGTACTTTAACTTCAACAGTTTCTTCCTTTAGCTATGGCGTACTTCGACGACTCGCWAGCGACTTGTGATGCCAGGACCACGAGACTATCGTGGCTTCCGATTGGTTTAGATCGTAGTTCTATTGTGTGCTCCAATTGGTTGAGTCGTAATKCCATTGTTACATGACATSACATCACATCAAATCGAGCTTCGTTCTCCATAACCTTTTCGTGCATCGGCTCTATGATGCTGCCGCCTCGCCAGACTCGCGTCTTCGCTCGGCTGGCTCGTTGGAAATTATTATATATTACAATGTAAATATGCGTGTAAGATGTGAATTATAACTCTACTCTGGTTGTCTGTTAAACAGAAATTCGTGAGTTGCATTCCATTTTTCCAACATTCACATGATATTTTTTCAACATCACATCATTATCCTGTGTATAACCAGGATGTTCACAATGTTGATCAAGTCAAATTAGCAGGGATGGCATCCATCTTTCCCACGGCTAGATTATTTGTTGCATCAAAGTGAATGACTGTGCAATGAGTATTGATAAAAGTATTGATCTTGTTAATGTGTAAACACAAAAGGCCTTTTGGCCTACCTGTGGCAAATACAAAATTATCCCATGCACTCTATTATAAAACGTGGAAGAGAGAGGCACCTTRCATAGCTATGATAATCATGTTTTTTTTATGGACTGCTGATGTGAATAAGAAGTTACTTAAATATACTATAAATGTTGAAATGGACATCTTCTAGGAGAGTGAGTTTCTAAAGAGAGCACTTTCTCTTCCATGGACATTGTCTACAAGTCAGCAGCCTCAACAGCAGATGGTCACCACTCACTATAGTGTATCAGAACCAGAACTAATGAACATGGTAAGCTTTCTGGCTTCCTTTCAATTTCTATTTCTATTTCAATGTCTATCATGCAAAAATATTTGCATTGCTAAGTAAATTAGGACAACGACAGGGGACAGGTAGGTAGGTAGGTAGATAGGTAGGTAGGTAGGAAGGAGCAATTCATTTGATACATTCCCTTTTACGTGAGTGCCTTTTTGGGGAATTTTTGGAATTTTCAGCTTTACAAATTCGAAGAAAATTGTCTACAATGACTCCTTTACAGACCTAATAGTCTAAATAGTCTTTTTTGTTACTTATTTGTCGTGATGTCCTTCAAAAAAGCAGAAAAAAGACCCATAGTTACGACGGCTTTGGCTTGACAACGGCTTTTGAAAACCGGATTTTGGAGCCTAATCCTTAGCTAAACCTAACCCTACACTGTCCTAAAAACCTAACCCTTCTGACCCTAACCCTAAATCAAGGTACCCTATAAAGACCCGGTCATAGGGTATAGCAACCGTAACCCTTGTCTAAGCCTGGAAATAATCCTAAGCTAAAGAAATCACGAGGAATTGCTAGCAAACATGATTATTGAGACTAAAAATAAGTGATTGAAGGCAATTTTCTTTTGTTTCCCGAAAGTTTCAAAAACCCTAAAAAGTCACTTACGCCGTTTTCGCATTCGGCCCTTTAAATACTTAGCCTGGGGTCCCTGTAGCATTATTACCAAAATGACAAAATAGTGACTGTAATACCGCTGTTACATCTTCCAAATGAGAGCTTTATTGTAAAGTAAACCTTTCCCAACAGATCTCCCCTGGTGGCGGTTTTGGACCAGTTCACGATGATGGTTATGGAGTGTCCTACATGGTTCCTGATGATAACAGAATATTTTTCCATGTATCTTCAAAAAATTCCTCTTCAGTCACAAACAGTGATCGGTTTGTGAAACTTCTGTTTCAGAGTTTGGGAGAAATGAAAGCCCTCTTTGATAAAGATGTTGAAAATGGGTCTTCAT